TAATTCTGTGAACTGTAAATAAACGTTAGGCTTTCTTTTTATGTTTACTCCTCTATCACACGTTGTTTCAGTCGCTCTTCACTCGTTCAATTACACAAAACATGAAATATGACTACTAACCAGTTGAGAATTCAGTTTAGATGCGACTTTGATAAGAGGAGGTCAAGGATGTACAGTGTTTCATGGTTATTTAGCTAGTTGTTCACAGTTTTCGCTATCCTAATTCTATTTTGTGAAATCTACAAATGAAAATGTCGGGTATTAGATTTCTTTAATGTAGACGCCTATATCTACTTACAACTCATTGAGAAGACAGTGTTTTAAACACCTAAAAAGTAATTTCTTGGTCTTTTAGGCTGTAACGATGCATTAACGCTCAGTATCTAAGTGTTATGTACAACTAACCTACAGGCTATCACTGATTGTCATGTTGAAATTCTTTGAATTTACAGTGTAAAGAATTACAGCTTTCAGGATTTCATTATGAGCTGACATCATTTAGAGAAACATTGGAGAACCTAGGAGTACTGGACACCTTATTCGTGATAGTTTGGCATACTTCGTATGTACACACCTACCAACAGAGTTCGAACCCAGGACTTTCCGGATATAAGGCGAACTCGTAGACCATTAAGCCACTGGGACCCGACTCAGTGGCCAGTCCATGAATTCCAACTTCTGCCAATTTACGAAATAGACTGACAACTAGCCAGTGTCATCTGTGGAGAGTATTTATCCTCACACCCAACTTTCTGTACCCCACTGGTCACGACTTCTCACTAGAACCCAGGTAACTGCCTACCTGAATAGGTCCAATTACTAGTGAGCATCAGATTGATATTCAAGTGTTGGTTTTTAGGGATTTCATTGGTTTCAGGATTTCATCATGAGCCGACATCGTTGAGAGAACCATTGGATCGGATCACAGTGGCTCAATGGTCTACGAGCTCGCCTTGTAACCGGAAGGTCCTGGGTTCGAACCCCTATGCAGGGTGCGTACCACTGAGGAGTCTCAGCCTATTACCACAGAAACAGCTGCCCAGCACTCCCAAGTTTTCCAATAGTTCTCTAACTAATGTCAGCTCATGATGAAATCCTGAAACCAATCAATTCCCTGCAAACCAACACTGGAATTTGAACAAAGCAAGAACTACAGTTTTAGCAGAATAAAATGGTACCATTTTTTATTTCGTTGCCTTCTCGTCAGCTGCTTACAGGGCAAAGACATTATTAAATGTTCCTACAAAAAAGATTTTAACATATCTACGATTTTCTGAACATGTACCAAAAAGCTTACGTCTAAAGGGAACAAATGCTTTAAACAGTGCCATCGCCAGGCATCTCCTCGACATGGGTCATGAGGTGGACGTCGAAAAATCCTTCAAATTTATCAGTAGGCAAAAGAGCTCTATCCTCCTTAAGTTTGCTGAAGCCATTTCCATCAAGCGCCTGAAACCTGATTTATGCGTCCAGAAAGAAGCGGTTATAAGTCTTTCTGGATATTTTTCATCTCTCTTTCATCCGAATGCGAGATGCTGAAAAGTTTCCACTGTGTATGATTATTATTGTTCGGAATAGTGTTTAACATTGTATATATATATATATATATATATATATATTAGTGTATGCGTATACTGATCGATTGATTTTTGGTTAAAATGAACTCTGTGCAAGTATGTTGAAATTGTTTTTGTAGATACATTTAATAATGTCTTTGCCCTATAAGCAGCTGACGAGAGGGCAACGAAATAAAAGATGGTACCATTTTATTCTGCTAAAACTATAGTTCTTGCTTTGTTCAAATCCATTAAGGGGAATTAATGTATGAAACACTGGAATTATCACTTTATTAGTTTCTTATGAGAAAACTAACACTACCATCTATTTCCAAGTTAATTTCTTTAGTGATATATTGAATTAATAGAAAAAGAGAGTCATAACTGTTCATTACAGCAACCGTCAAAACTCTAGTTATCCTCCAGCTAATAATCAGTAAGTGATGAGTTCATTCTATTCGTCTTCAGTTAGATAAGCTGAAGGCCGCTGTTTCAAACATAACTGTTAATATGGCTTTCTCTCATCCTTAATTATCACATTATTCGTTTGATTACCACCCGATTAACACAGATATCATTAGGATGAATGCGACAAAAATGGAATATAGGAGAAATTTTCCAGTGGTTCAATTTTTAGATATCATCAGTTTTATGATTTCTCGTAATAATCTAAATGATATGGACTTGTAATTAGAATCTCTGTATTGTTTAAGAGAAAACTGATTCTAACTGATTGAAAATGCTCATTAAGGTTTTTCAAAAGAATGGATACTGAACAAAGAGCACTCTTTTCGATAACTTCATCATCAGGCTCTACAGTTACATATACATAATAACGAATGAATGAATTAGTGTTATGAACAACATTAATGTTTAAATAACCACGAATTAGTAATATCAATAGATTACAGTTCAATAGCATCAACATAAAATAAGCTTATAAGTATTCCAGACCGTAGGTGTTACGAACTTCCTGGAAAAAGATGAGCGCCGAGTCAGATTGATTCATTATAAATTATTCTGTGGCTTACGCAGCGAAACGTTCAGAAAAATCTTGTTTTGATTTTCTTAAACGCGCTGGGATTAATTTAAATAATTGATAATTGATAAAATAAGCTAAATGTCACAAAATTTAGGAGAGATAATATTACAAATTCATGAGTTTATAGTTTCTACTGAAGGCCAGGGCAGTAGTAGGGGCTGGATTTGCTTCTTTTGCACACAGAGCACTGGTTGTTTGAGGCGAATTGCAATAGCCTCTGCTGTTTGGAGTATGCGGTGCTTCGATGTTTTTGGCAATTTATTTGGCACCCGGTAGATTATAGAGAAGGATTCTTCCATGCTGGCTGGCTTTGTGGCCGGTTTGTACCAGATGGTCCAATATCGAACTGTTAATGGTTTTAACTACACCTTTACTTAGCCATAGTGGGAGATGTTCTCGAGCACGAAAAATCAAGTTCCTAGAGCAACGGCCGATATAACTCACTCCACAGGCTCAGCTCAATTGTTAGATACAATTTTAAGTGGCACGAGTTATAAGTGATGTGGGTCCGTATCTTTACGGGGAAATTGTTTTACTCAATGTGGTAAATAAGCCTTGCTTATGATTGCCAATAACCACAAAAACTAGGTACATGGCTATGTACCGATTACCACCAGTTATCTAATAGTAATATTTCATAATTTGTCTGTGTGTTTTCGACATAGAACTTTGCACATATGTGCGGCAGTTCAAGTCGCCACACTCCCTCCATGTAGCACACAAAGCAAGAGAAGAAGGTAGGAGAAATGCATATTAGAGACAGTAAACAGACGTGTGAGACAAAGGAATAGTAATAACGAAGAACAAAACAGTTTCATTGGAAATCATAAGTCACAAGTAGTGGATGCATCTGCGCCACTGAGAACGATTTTGAGCCATGTCACCAATGGTTTCCATCCATTGGTTTTCACCGTCCCGAGGACCCCAACCAGGAAGTCTACACCTTCCTACGTGGCTTAGACTAACTGTTGTGGATTTCATTGACTGGTGCCATGTTTTGTTTTAACCACCGCTATATTTCATAATATACTGTTAGTCTCCTAAGTTCGTAACCATATTGCAGACTTGACATATACATTTTGGTCGGCTTCACTAAGGACTAGACACATGACATCAACTGCTCCCTAGTAATCAATTATACGATAAAGTTTTTACATAAAAACGAAGATTGAGATAATCAGTGTTATGAAGACATAACACTACCATATTGAATAATAAAAATACTATGGACAAAATGTTGAAATGTTTCAGCTAATTATCTTACACAACTGTGTTTCAAACGTCATCCACGAAATAATACTGTTTTACTGTATGATAGATCCAATAAATTAATTAATGTGGAACTACATACTATCACCGTGTCCAGGTTTTGCATATACATTAATAATCCGGTAGGACCCACTTACACAGAACAGACTTTCATGTACTAAGGTAGGTAGAATGAGACTCAAACTTGGGACGCATCGGCTAAAAGTCAGGTACTTGAACCAATGAGTCACTTCCTTGCCACATCCCACATATACCTTATAGTCAGTTCAAAAAGATTACTGTAGGTTAGGAGAATAAATTCCTGATAAAAATGTGATTCATGAAGAGTGGCATTTCCGCTGCCACACATTCAAACAAAGATTACTTGATAACAACAAGATTTTTAAATGAGACTTTTACATTTAAATTTTATTCAGTCAAGACGCCTTTCGAAAGATTATAGTACGACACATTAAAGACTGATTCACCTTAGTATTCTTATTTTGTTTGTTTTAATCTTCTGAGCGAGTTTTTATCTGTGGAAGAGTTTAGTTTAGCAGTAAATGATTTTGATATGCACATCATGTTTATCGGAACACTGAACTCAATGATATATATTCAAAAACAGACCGAGGGGCTCGGTAGTTTATCGGACTAACAGTCGCACTTCTGTTAGTTCCATTTGTGTGTAAATGTATTCATAAAGTATTTGAAGTGAACACTAATGTGTGTCATGAAAGTCTATACCACACTGAAGTATATATAGGCTACTTAATAGATAGTGATTAGAGGTAAAATTGAGGATGCGCACCTCGTTCTCTATGGGGTTCCTTAGGTAGATCTTAAAAAGCAGAAATTTACCTACTGGGATACTAAGCTGTAATAGTTGCATCTTAGAAAAGATATTCGATACTCAGCAAGCAAAATAACAAATAGCAGGTAAATTTTCGCACAATTATGTACACACACGCACAAGATCAATATACTTCGAACCTCGGTATTCTAAATATCACTCATCTTTCATATAAGTAGGAAGGAAGCAAATATGAGTTATATATCTGTCTAAACTTTCACTGGTAGTCTCACTCAGATTTCACAAGTCTCCGGAATATATTCACAGTAAATATACAAGCATATTTAAATGTGACACTTACTTATTCTTCTCAGCTCATCATACTGTTCCCATTCTTTAGGCGTAGACGGCATCGGTTCATCAGGTCTCAGTGGAATAGTTCCATGCACCCAACAATAATCAGTTAAATAAGCATTGTAATTTTCACCAGTCGGTTTAACAGGAATATAACATGAGATTGAATTTAAAAAGTATTGTTTAGCTGATACAACTATGCAGGCGATTAGAAACAGGACTACTGTGAATAGACTTAGCCTGTCAGAGAAGTCTTCCACGGCTACACGATTAGCATAGTTGAATTTTGCAAAGAGTTCAATGAAGTCTTTAGCTACCATTGTAGACGTAGAGGCTTTCTTTGTTGTTGATTGACAGCAGAAGCAGTACTAATATTATTCAACTTGTCATATAACAACTGTAGCTGTCAGATACTAAACAAAGGCACTAAACCGGCACCCTCAACTCGGATGAGATATTCTGCAGTCCCAGATATTTATTTATACATTAAATACTAGAATAATTTTGAATGAGATTCTCTACTTCTGTTTAATGTAAACTATGTAAACAAATCAGAATTCATTTGGTCATTCAACATTTTTTTCTCTCTCTCATTGTGAAACAACAATTAGGACATATGATTGGTCAACAGAAGGCGTGTATGTGTGTTTGTGTGTGTGTGTGAGAGAGAGAGACAAAGCGTGTTGACATGCCTTCTCATCCACACTGAACAACATATCTGTCAACCTACTACTTATATCCTCCCTACTGATTACTGATTTTTGTCACAAAACTGTTACCAAATGGAACAACACGAGAATTCAGTTTTGACCACTGTCTTACGCCTACATATAATTTATAATATATGCAGCGACAGCTGATCACTAATGTGTTGATGATTGCAGTGAAACTGACGGAGATTGTGGTGATGTTAAATCTCTGGACTCGACATCGATTACGGACATTTTGTGCCAAATGCTTTTCTCTGAGGCATTGTCCCACACATCATAAATTGGTAAAAACTGGACACTTTTGTCAAGTTTAGATAATTGATCAGGTGGCAATACAAGAATGATCTAATATAGAAACAAGGTTAATTAGACAGCAACTAAAGTAAGATTGAGTTATTAAGTTAGATGACGTAATAGAATTGACTAGAAATTGAGCGTTGTTCAAGTCAGTAACAGTGGTAGTGAGGTGTAGAAGTTAAACTGGGTGGGGTTAGAGAACAGGAAAGTTGAAAATGTAAAATATTACAATTGTAAAGACAAAATAATACTAATGAAGAGACAGAAAAAAAGATTAGGTAGAATTTACTTGTCGGCTAATAAGATAGATTATGTCCATTGCAAGCGTAGTGATTGAACGAACTTCTTCTGTATACAGAGTTCAGTGCTTAGCAAGTGAATCGCCATTGCTTCTGCAGTTTGAAGAAGTTTGACTCGTACACTTTTAGGAAGACTGCTTAGTATTCTGTAGACGACTTTGAAGTTTGTTTGGGTTGTAGCTTGGTGTCCGGAATCTATTAGATGTTCTAAGATGGAACTGCGGGGGCATCGATTTTCTCCTTTGTAAAACCATGTTGGTAAGTGTTCGGTGATACGTTTGGAAAGCGAGCGCTGGCTACGGCCAACATACTTGGCTCCACACGAGCAAGTGAATTGATAAATACACATTGATGAGGCCAGCAGTGGTAGCTTATCCTTCACGTTCACATGAATAATAGGTTTCGTGGAGAAGGTCAATAGTAGTTCAGCTACGAAGAAGGTTTTCTTAAGTGAACGAGACAGTCGATTTTTTAGTGTTTCCTCAGATATATGTCCATTGAATTGAAGGTTCATGTAGAAAAGTTTCTTCAGGACGATAAGCATGGGCGGCTTTTGTGGTCTAGGATTCATGGATTTTGCAATAGATCAATCTGGATAACAATTCTCAACGAGGATTCTCTTGAGATTGTCCAGTTCATCTTCTATGGTATCCGGGGTGCAAATTCTGCGAACTCTGTAGCTGAGTGAACGGATCATGTTTCGTTTGGTGTATAGGGGTACCCAACTGTGAAAGTTAGTTTAGCTGTCTGTTCCACGTTGACTTTCTGTAGATAAATGTTTTCAGTGTTCCATCCTGTTCTCGTCTTGTTAGTTGGACATCAAGAAAGGATATTTTGGAGTTGAACTCTTTCTCCAGTGTGAACTGAATCGCGGGGTGGCAGTTGTTAAACAACTTCAAGATGTCGTATAGATTTTCTTCGTTGTTGACGATAATGAAAGTGTCGTCGACGTATCTCTTATAGATTTCAAAATTGGACACTGTGCGAATCGAAGGATTTCAAGTAGTTGACCGAGTTGTAACGTGTCCACCTAATGATCAATCATTCTTTGACTGGCTGATGAATAGTTTAGTTTTAAATGACTCACTAAGCCACTTTTTTCGGTGGGTAGATGGGATATTCAGCTTATTTCAAAATTCAAAGATTGGTTTTCAGGGATTTGATTGGTTATAGGATTTCATCATGAGCTGACATCAGTTAGAGAAGCGCTGGAAAGCCTGTGATAACTGTGGCTAGCTGTCAGATCCTAGTGCGGGACTTTCCAGAGGTACGCACTCACTGAGGTTCGAACCCGGGACCTTCCGGTTGCAAGGCAACCTTGTAATAATGATAATAACAATAATCTGCTTTATTCCAAAAACAGTATTTATGATACCGAATAGAATTCTCAGCATTTGTCACAATATTGCATCTAATGTACCCAAAATATAAATAAAATTAACCACAGGAATTTCTCCACATTTCGGTAGGAATAAAGTCAAATATGTGCAAAGTATAAAATGAGAATAATAATGATAATAACAGTGGGTTTATTTCAAACGGTATTGTCGATTCAGTTTGGAAATATAAGCATCTTATAGATTATTGAATCTAATGTTCTGTTGATATAGCATGGTGAGGGGAAAGACAAGGAATAACAGTCATTACACAGCTTAAATGATGTTTACACATTAAAAAATAAACAAAAAATTGAGAGGATTATAAATATAGGAAGAACAATAACAATAAAGCTTGGTTGAATAAGGATGGAGAAAAAGTGGTTTATTTACTAGTGCAAAGAAGGTCAGTTAGTTCATGTCTAACACTATTTTCATAACATAAAATACGTGTCAAATATGGTATATTGGCATTTTTATGCTTAGACGTACGTGCATAAAGTCTTTTGAAATGACTTCTTGTTTTACCTGAGGACACACAAGGTGAAAGCTGTGGGAGCTGAGGTGGATGCTCACAGTCTGACAAAATTCCTTTAGCAAATTTGCTGCATGAAATCAAGTGTCTACCAATGAATATGTCAAGGATATGGCTCAACGGGATACCACTCGTCCTACTGACAGTCTTTAGAGTTCTACGAAGTATGACATAGTCCTTTTTACGCAACCCAGGAAAGAATAAGTGTGAACAATAAAGAAGAATAGGTAAGATGCATGAGTTGACAAACTGTAAGAGGAGGAGGGGTTGAGTTATGCCTTAGTGCCTTAACTTCTTAATGTATAAAGTCAGACGAAATATTCTTTTAGAAATCGCTAAGACATGGGAAGACCAGGATAGGTCAGAAGAAAGAATTAATCGAAGATACTTAACCTCAGACTTGGTTTCTATATCACTATTCTCAATCCTGCAACGGTCATAGGAATTAACAGCTTCATCTAACTTTCTTTCACATCGGAAACTGAAATTAGCAGTCTGACATTTGGAGGGATTTAGTTTAAGACCATTAGATGAAGACAATTTGCTGACTCCTGATAGAAAGTTGTTCATCTTAGTACAGTCTAGCTGGGAGTTAACAGACATTGAAATAGTTAGATCGTCCGCATACTTAATAAAGTTCATTTCATCAGAATGAGGCAAGTCATACAAGAAGAAAGAAAACAGAAAAGTAGAAAGTACAGCGCCTTGAGGGACACCAGCCTCAGTAAGCAATGAAATGGACGACTTCCCCTGACATACAGCGCACTGCTTTCTTCCTGAGAAATAAGAATGGAGCCATTTAATAACCCAACAGTTAGTTTCAGTTTCAGCAAGCTTATTTAACAAAATATCCCTAGGTACTGAGTCGACAGCAGATGTATAATCTTGGAAGGTGAGGCGAACAAATTTAACCCCTTTGTCTAAACTGGAGACGAAGTTATGATGCAAGACTGCAGCTGCATCTAAAGTACTTCTACTGTGTTTATAGGCGAATTGTGTGTGATCGTTAAAGACTTTAAGTGAGATTTTGAGATTAAGTAAGAGTAACTTTTCCATAGTTTTTAGAAAAGGAGAGGTAGTAGCAATAGGTCTAAATTTAATACATGTTCCAGTAGATGACTTAAGTATAGGTACAATTTTAATGTCCTTCCAAACGGCTGGCACCACATTTCTGGACCATTAAAATTCACTGTTCTACTAATTAGTACCAGACTACATCAGGTGCCAGAAAGTCGAACATATCAATAGAATAACGAAGAGTGAAATGCAGATAACTGGAAATACTCATTGTATTAGATGTGTAAATAAGAATTACAACCAGTAGACCAAGTTAAAGATGCAAGGGAACGAAAGCACAGAGGACTTCAAGACGCACAATCGAAACCTAGTAAAAAGCCCTATAATCATGAAAAAAGAGTTGAATGAAGCGTAAGGATATTAAGTAGGTTACCTAGTTAGTTGTAAGTTAAGTTAGGGGAAGATTACGATTAGGAATAGCCTAGGGACAGGTTAGGGTTAGCTTAATCTAATTCAGGAGTAATTAGGGTTGGCTGAGGGATAGATTACATTCAAGTTTCCGATAGTTACGGGTAAAATGAACATATAACAGAATCCTTATGAGTGATCACGAAAAAATGTACTAAATTCATTTACTTATAGAATAGCATTAAAGATAAAACCTTAGCAGATATCAAAAGCGATGCCAACAAAATTTAAAACTTGAAAATTGACTAGATCATTGTCAGAAAAATTAATGTTTTCTCCATTTGGTAGATGTGAGTCGGTGGTTCAATGGTAGAATACTCGCCAACCACAAAAGTGGCTTGGGGTTTGATCTCCAGCCGACAAAATCCTAAACGTCACCTGTCTGTCTGTCTGCTTTCGACATAGAACTCTGCACATATGTGCGGCAGTTCAAATCGCCACACTCCCTCCATGTAGCACACAAAGCAAGAGAAGAAAGTAGGAGAAATGCATATTAGAGACAGTAAACAGAGGTGTGAGACAAAGGAATAGTAATAGCGGAGAACAAAACAGATTCATTGGAAACCATAAGTCACAAGGAGTGGATGAGCCACTGAGAACGATTTTGAGCCATATCACCAATTGTTTCTAACCATTGGTTTCTACCGTCCCGAGGACCCCAACCAGTCAGGAAGTCTACACCTTCCTACGTGGCTTAGACTAACTGTTGTAGATTTCATTGATTGGTGCCATGTTTTGGTCTGACCGCCGCTAGCTCTTTTCCAGCCTGGCCCTATATCAGCTAACATT